GAATCAGGGTTCCTGCGGACACGAGAGGGATTGTGAAGGAGGGAAAACAATGGGAGGTAAAAAGACCAGAGGGGGGAGGAAGAAGCACAGAGACGTACCGGAATGAGAGTGAAAGAGAGAACAGTTGAGCAAAGGGCTTGACGTTTGGGCCAGTGGCTGAGGAAGGAAGGAGGGAAGGCTGGTATTAAGCAGGAACAGCTTTGTGGAGTGCAGAGTGGGGTCCCTCACTGGCAGCATCTGCACCCTGTCCTCTTCCAGAGATTGTTGTGTGGCCTTTGACGACACCTCCCCTTGGGTGACTGGAGAAGGGTGTCAACTGACACCCGGTGTTAAACTGCGTGCACAGTGGCCGTGGTGGAATAGAGACCTCCAGCTTCCCGGGCGGAACTGCAGGTGCTTGAGGGGAGATATGAACCTCCCCAGGGAGAAAACCAGGACAAAGCCAAGATAGGGGTCACACCAAACTGCTACAATGTGAAATCCTCCCTTTGTTACTACTGAGCCCTTCTCTCTACTGACACCCTCCACCTCCACTCCGCCTCGGCCCATCTCGGACATCATCCTGAGGACAGGATGATGGTACTTGTTTTTAACACTTTTACCTGATCATAGAGGGGAAAAGACCCTGGAAATTGGTGACTTGCTTGGTGTGAAACCCCTGGGTCTAAAGGTCATGATCCTTCGACAAAGGAGATTAAGAGCTAGGAAGAGCCCCTCCCACCGTGGTTCAGTTGGTTGGAGTGCCGTCCTGTTCACCAAAAGGTTGTGGGCTCGGTTACTGGTCAGGGCACATACCCAGGATGGAGTTTGATCCCCGGCCCAGGAGGCAACCAATTGATGTTTTTCTTTCACATCAAGGTCTCTCTCTCTCTCTCTAAAAAATCAATAACATTGAGAGAGAGAGAGAGAGAGAGAGAGAGAGAGAGAGAGAGAGAGAGAGAGAGAATACATTTGAAATCTAGGTTTTTCTGAATTATAACGTTGACATACAGTAGTCCCCCCTTACCCAAAGTTTTGCTTTTTGTGGTTTCAGTTACTTGTGGCCAACTGCAGTCTGAAGTATTAAATGGAAAATTCGAGTAACAAACTATCCATAACTTTTAAAGTGAGAGTCGTTCTGAGCAGCATGATGAAGTCTCACACAGTCCTGCTCCCTCCGACCCGGATGTGAATCATCCTTTGTCCAGTGTCTCTACGCTGTACTTACCCCCCACCAGGGAGTCACTGAGCAGCTGTCTTGGTGATCACATTGGCTGTCTTGTGATGGCAGGGCTTGTGTTCAAGTCACCCTTATGTTACTTACTAAAGGCCCCCAAGTGCAAGAGTAGTGATGTTGGCAACTCGGATATGCCGAAGAGAGGCTTTAACTGTTTCCTTCAAGTGAAAAGAAGAAAGTCTCAACTTGATAAGAAAAAAAATCATATGCTGAAGTTGCTAAGATCTACTGTAAGAATGAATCTTCTGTGAAATTGTGAAGAAGGAAAAAAGAAATGTGTGCTAGTTTTGCTGTCGCACCTCAAACTGCAAAAGCTAGGGCCACAGTGCGTGATAAATGTTCAGTGAAGATGGGAAAGGCATTGCATTTGAGAGTGGAAGACATGAACAAAAAACATGTCCTGATTGACCACAGGTGTTTTGACAGCCAGCATCGAACCTGTAAGAGGACTTCAGCAAGGGATCCTCTGAAATGAGGGACACTACACCACTTACTATAAGTGAGGGATGGTTACACACACTCAGAATAGGTTTGGACTAAAAAATGTAAAAATTAATGGCGAGTATTGTTTTAATTGTTTTATTTTATTATTAGTTGTTCTTAATCTCATAGTATGCCTAATTTAGAAATTAAACTTTATCATGGATATGGAGGTTTAAGGAAAACAGTATAGTATATATAGGGTTCGGTGCTGTGAGTGATTTCAGGCATCCACTGGGGGTCTTGGAACATATCCCCACAGATAAGGGCGGACAACTATATTTACATACCCTTTAAACTCAGGTGTGGCCTACTTTCTTTCTTTATCTCCTAATATTCATTTCTTCTTTTCTTGCACACCAATAGAATTTTTAGCGGGGTGCATGGCTGCTCAAAATAAAGACTGTGTATCTCAGCCTCCCTTGCAGCTAAGTGTGCTTACGTCAGCTGACAGCATGTAAGCAAAAATGTTGCATGTGAGCTTCTGAGGAACTTCCAGAAAGACAGTTGGCACGTGCCCGTCACCCTTTCTTTATTCCTTCCTCCACGCTGCTGCCTGGAGTTCGAGGCTAGCCTGCATCTTGGACCACAAAGACAGTGGCACAGCCCAGGGAGGGGGAGTGAAGCCAAAGAAAACTGAGTCCTGCAGATTTGGAGTGAGACACCTATCAGCCCAACACTGTCTGTACACGACCTTGTACCGAATCGGGATGAAACCTCTATTCTGTTTATGCTAATGTTACTTGAGAACTTTCTGTTATGTGCAGCCAAACCTAATTCTAATGGATATACAAGTATTACAATTAACTAGTTATTGGTTTTAAAAAAAAGATTATGTAAAAGGTATTTATAAGAATATAAAAAAATCACAGAAGTCAAATTGTAAGCCAAATTACCATTTATGAGACTAAATATATAACGATGTTTTTAAAAGCATATTCAGGGACTTATGCAGTTAATTGTATTCTATCAGGCCCTGTATCAGACTCTAAGGATGCCGTAATGAATAAGCCAGCGCCAGCGCCCTCCTGTATCTCACACCTGGGGAAACTGTAACTCAGGCTGACAGTAGGACTAAGCAGAGGGTGCTCTGGCACACACTCCTGCAGCTGGGGAAAGGGCCAGCGAAGGCTTGCTCAGAGCTGAGGTCCCCCTGAGACCTGGAGAACCAATAGGAGTTTGGCAGACCAAGAAGAAGAAAGAAGCAGATGCTGGGCGGTGGGGTCTGCCGGCACAGAAACTTGGAACAGAGGGAGCATAGACTTCTGGAGGGCTGCAGGAAGGGCAATTAAAGATGAGGGTTGTTCATGCAGAACTGGGCTGGAACATGACACAACGGTGCTCTATTACAAGGCATTAGAGAGGCCTAAATCGACGCGGAATGGGGCTTAAAGAGAGTTCCGTTCTAAAGAGTGGAAAAGGAAGTCACTAACAGACTCATAGAAAAGGGCTGGTCAACTTCCCTTTGAACTCAGTTGGGGTTGCAGATAATTAGCCAATGTGCAGCGGCACCAGTGCACACAACTGTGGGCCACCCCCGAGGGACAGAGTGGGTGCTGGGGGAGAGGCTGAGGGAGCAGGGTCTTGGTGAGATTGAAGAGCAGATGGAATAAAATCAAAGTCATGGGGGAGGAAGGAGGCTGTGAGTGTAGGCTACACATGGACACACTTCAGACCTGGGCAGTGCTAGGAGATGCCTCTACTGAATGAGGGGGAACAAGGCCTGGGGTTGGAATGGCAGCTCCAGACTGGTGGCCGAGGGGCAGAGCAGAGAGTTTTGCTTGAGAAGAGCTGGGGGGATGCAGACTCCAGCCCAGGTCCAGGAGTGTGTATGCTGAGGGAGGAAGAGGGGGAATTCTTGGAGAAGACTATGGAGGGGGTCCCTTCACGCAGGGAGGGGCTGAGGATAGGTCACAGAAAAGTCAGGGCATGGCATTAGGCATGTCGCACAAACAGGTCTCCAGCCAGGGTCCCACTGTGGGCTTCCAGATTGCTTTAAAATATTTTTTTGAGATAAAATATACATAATATAAAAATGTACCGTTTTAATCATTTTTTAAATATATATTTTTATGGATGTCAGGGGAAAAGGGAGAGGAAGAGAGAGATAGAAACATCAATGATGAGAGACAATCATTGACCGGCTGCCTCCTGCACACCCCCTACTGAGAATGGAGCCCGCAACCCAAAGCAAACCCAGTATGTGCCCTGACCAGACCCAAACCATGACCTTCTGGTTCAAGGTCGATGCTCAACCACTGAACCATGCTGGCTGGGCTTGTTCCCTTTCTCGGTCTCAACAGGATAAACACAATCTCTGCTGAGCAAAAAGATTATTTAGGTGTTTGTTAACTTAAAGTGCCACCTTCACTTCTTCCGGGGATATTTAATCTTTAAGGAGCAATTTTAGAACATTTAAAACTTTAGGATACAAAAGAATGAGACTTTAGGGGTGGACTGGCAGAGAGGAGGGTGACATACTCAGGCAGGCGTCACCCCCTCAGCTGACTTCGACCTGATCTTTTCATTCCAAATCCCATCCTCTTTCCACTACACTCGTGCTAGTCGTTACCATTGGCATATCTCCACTGGACCAGCAGTTTATTTTTAATGCCCAATTGGCTTGAAATCACTGCTAAAACCAACAAGTGTAGCAAATGGCAATCTTAAATATGTTCCTTTCACGTGGTCATCTATTTAGGTTTGATAACACTGAAATAAGGCTGAAATGTACTCACTGTAGATATACTCTTAAGTTAGTTGTTTTAAAAATGTGCCACTATAAACTTAAAAAAAATTGTTGTTGCTGTTAATCCTCACCTGAGGATATTTTTCCCCCTGGTTTTTAGAGAGAGTGGAAGGTAGGAAGGGAGGAAGGGAGGGGAGAGAAACATTGATGTGAGAGAGACGCATTAATTGGTTGCCTTCTGCACACACCCCAACCAGGCCAGGGATGGAACTTGCAACCCACTTACATGCATACATGCCCTGACGGGGGATAGAACTCAAGACCCTTCATTGCATGGGCTGGTGTTCTAACCACTGGGTCACACCGGCCAGAGCAACATTTTTAAATTTTTTTCACCACTCCATAAAGTTTAAATACAATTTTTAAAAATTTTAAAAATTTATTTGAGAGACAGACAGACATCGATTTGTTGTTCAGCCTATTTATGCATTCATTGGTTGATTCTTATATGCGCCCTAAATGGGGGTCAAACCCACAACCGTGGTGTATATGATGCTCTAACCAACTGAGCTACCTAGCCAGGGCAAGATTTTTAAAAAGGTTTAAAAACTGAAAAACAGTTCGCTAAAATGTAAATGTATTTACAGGACTTTTGCCAAATTAGTGTCTAAAATGTTTTCTAAACTCAAAATTATTCTCCATCATTTACTTTTCCCTTATAATATGTTTATAATAATCATTTGGTGGGTCCTATAGATAGATATAATACATATTATGAAAATACTTTTCTATAGAAACAGTAAATAATTATAATGCATATTTTCTGACTTAAATACTTTAAATACATTACTTGTTTTTACTCATATATAATCCCATGTATGTTTGCTTATTATACTAAAGAAACAAACTTTCCCTCTCTTCTCTTAAAATTTTTTTATTTCTTACTAAATTCTACTTTCTTCCACTAAAACGTAACAAAGTCAACAGAACAGTTGTACAGTAATGAGAAAACCAACAAGGATCTCCTTCAGAGTAGGGCTGAAGGGAAACAATTTGTAGTAGTTAAGATTTATTCCTTATCCTACCCTCTAAATATTACATCTCTTAACAAAGAATTCTTGTTTAACTTTATTGCAAAGTGTGTAGCAGGGCGGTGTTTAGAAATAGTACAGATCTAAATGCACATACGTTAGTAGTGCTAGCTGTGAGTGAACCCAAAGAAAATGAGAAATTCAATTTGTGACACTGACATCTGTAAACAAAAGAAAGATATCAAGAGTATCAGGATTATTTTTTTTTAAAAAAAGTCAGTATCAGACTGCTCTTAACATCAATAATTGCTATCCTAAAAGTTACTAATAAACAGGAACCAGAACTCTGAGCTTAATAGTCTTTCCTTCCACTCCTTCCCTCAATCATAATGAGGGCATTAGTTTCAGCTCAGTTTTGAAGTTTGAGTCTTGAGTTTAAAAGGAACATTTCTGCCCACTTGCATTGAACAGCCAGGCAGTGTTCCAGAATTTCACTTCACAATCCACACACGCTATTTTTGCTATTAGACATTTATAGTAATTGTGACAAACACATCATTGGTTTAAGTAAAATTAATTATATATATGTGTGTATGTGTGTGTGTGTGTGTATAAATACGTTATTCTTATAGAATAGCTAAGAGAGGAGGAATTCAACACTGAAAAATACAGCAATATAAAATGAATCTATTCGTAGATACCTAGGGGCCACTAGTTATTTTTGCTTTCCTGTGCCCACCAGGGTATGTGCTAAAAGGGTCATTGGTCTGCGAGCTGTATTGCCAGGACCATCCTGGGAACTGGGAACAATGGCGAGCAGAATGCACCCCCTGCTCCAAGGCTGGGCTGTAACTAACACTCGCGCAGGATGGGAGGCGACCGCGTGTAAGGCTTTGGGTGCCCTGTAGAGGGAGGGATGCAATGGCGCCCCTAATCCTCACTTTGGGTAAATAAATAGAAGAGGGAAGGGGAGACCGCCACTTCTGAGGAAAGGAGGAGACAAGACGGGGGAGTGTGGCCGCGCGGGGAAGATCGGGTACGTTTAGAGCGAAGAGAGAAAGCATTTCAGGTGAATTTGGAACTCGCTCGGGGAGGGGTGCGAGGACTGGCCGGCGGTGGAGAGCCCGCTGGAGAGGAGACATAAATGAAAAGGAGATTAGGAGGGCCTTATGCAGCAAACTTAAGGAGATAGGGTCTTACCCGGAGGGCCACAGAGATCCCCTAAAAGATTTAAACGAGAGAAACACCATCTGACTCACTTTAAAGCAATCTGATTGAAAGATGGAGCTGGGGTCGGGG